ACTATTCGTAACCCAAGTACATGATTATTCCTGGGGCTCCAAATAGCCAAAAGTAGGTACTATTTATAGACTTTAGACCCCAAAGTAGGTGCTATTTGTATACTTGGACCCTAAACCCTAAACCCTAAACCCTACACCCTAAACCGATTAGGTCCTGTGGACCCTTAGGGAAAGCTTCACGCAGCAAGCGGACTCTAGCGGATTTGGGAAGGAGGTTTAGGGTTTAGGGTTTAGGGTTGGAAGGAACTCCCCAAAGCCCTAGGCCCAAGGCCACCAAAACAGGCCCAGTATGACCCTGAACACCAAACCGTCCAGGGTTTCGGGCTTAGGGTTACACCCTAAACCGCATAAGTTAAGGCTAAGGCAGCCGAGACCCTAAACCCTAAACCCTAAACCGCATAAGTTAAGGTTAACCCTGGGGCTCCAAATAGCCCAAAGTAGGTACTTTTTATAGACTTTAGACCCCAAAGTAGGTGCTATTGGTATACTTGGAGCCCTGGGGTAAGGCAGCCGAGAGACACTACGACCGGGAGGTTGCTGCAGGCGCCAATGGGCGCACATCCCGGCGCGAACACGTTGAGGTACAAACAGTCCTGCAGCACTTCAGCTCTACGGGTACTGCCTATAGTCTCCATTGTAGTTCCATTTTTTGGTTTAACCAATATTATATATTAAGGATGCTACAAGGCATCCCCAAAAAGGAACTACAATGGAGACTACAGGTATAGTGAAACCCAGAAATTGGAACATGTAGGTAAATTAGGATGATTAATGTTGGGATCCCCAATACCTTACCTTAGGGACATGAGGAAAATTATGTTCTGGCTTCTATAGGATCCTTAAACCCAAAACCCCAAACCCAAAGGCTATTCTGTAGGGCTTCGGGCGTAGTTCCCCGAAACTCGAAAGCCCTACCTGTGGATCCAGTCACCTACTGGTTTGAGGTTTAGGGTTTAGGGTGTATGCCGGGGTGTTTCCTTTATCAGTATGCGTCGCAGACTACTTGGCCGCGGGGATTCAAACCCAAAATCCCTAAGTTCCAAACGTTCGATCCCAAGCACAGAAGAGCCGGTGCAGAGGCAGTAGGTCCAGGTAGGTTTTGGAGGTTTCTTGGCTAAGTCATGTCTGCTGCAGGAAAAAACCTTGAAAGAAGACACACGACGGATCCCTTTGCGAAACGAGCGGTTGCAATTGAATCTCTCAGAGCTCAATGAAGGCTTCAAGGAACCCTAAACTCTATAAACCCTATTGGGCCTTCATGGGGAAATATGAGTGTTATCATGCTGTACAGTAACAAGGGCGAGTGGGCTCGGGATTTTGGGGTTTCGGGCTGGCGGTTTAGAGATTTGGCACTTCGGGTTTTGTGGTGTCAAGACCCTTAACCCTAAACCCAAGGTTTAGGGTTTAGGGTTTGAGGCTTCGGGGTTTTAGGTTTTCGAGTTTTGAGGCTTGAAAGCTTCAAGATTTGAGGTTCGCGAGTTGTTACGTTTGGTTGATGGGAGAAGAGTAACGTAGTAAGTAAGCAGCTCCAAAAAGTACGCAGCGAAAAACCTTACCAATGTATACCCCAAAATACCCATGCAATTCTTCGAAGTGCTATGGCGTCCATCTTCAACCCACCCCCGATCCTGATACCCCGAGCAACAAACTTCCTGCCTCACTCTGCCCGCCGTGCTCATTGTACAAGTTCCACTGCATGCACGCGGGGCCCTCCTGCCTCCCGCCGGCTGGGGCTTGGGTTTCCGTCTTCGGGCGTTTGGGGTTTGGGAACTCCATACCGTCTAATTTCGAAAGACCGAAGCCTAGAGGCTGCCCCTTAAGCCCCATAAATGTTGACATCCTGAACTCTACACCCTCATGCCTAAACCCTAATCCCTGAACCCGAAAGCCTGAAGAGAAACCTCTTGGATGTGCAGCCACAGGCTTGGGGATCGAGACATGGATGGGTGCGGTATAGAAAATGCGAGGACCGATCCTGTGTCGATGCCAAAAATGCCCTCAACTCGAAATCCTTAATCTCTGCAAGCCAAATCCTTAAATCTCTCTGCAAGCTAACCGATACCCTGAACCAAGAACCCTAAACCCTAAAGCCCTAAACCCTAAACCCTGAACCCCTAAACCCAAGCCCTCTCACTTGCTTGATACCGTCATTCACTAAGATGCCCCAGGTCCGGTCAGCTCTGCATGAGTTCAGGGCTCCAGGCTTAATATAGGGGGCCTTCATAATGAGAATAGGGCTTTGGAGCCAAAAATACCATACTTATAACAGAACAAGGAGCCCCCACAATAGTACTTGTAATTATTTAGGCCCCTACGTTACAGGGTTTGGGCCTGGAAATTTGCGAATCTGCCAAGGGAAGGTTCCTCGCCCTCCCGAGCCGATCTACAGGGGCACTTTCGGCTCGAAAAAGGCTCAAGCAGGCATCCAGAAGAGGCAGGATCATGGGATAGGGGCACGTTTGGGTGGTTCTCAAAATTAGGGTCCCGTTCAGGGTCCTTTTTATAAGGGTGCCGTACTATATTAGGGACCTAAACGGGGACCTAATCTAGAGAACCACCTATTTGGTCAATGGTTTTTAGGGTTTAGGGTTCGCGCCGTTTCAAGGAAACTCTCGTCGGATCGCGGCTCTAGGCTAGGGGTTCTGGCTGAGTTCAGCCATACACCTACATGTACCTGTAGTCTCCATTGTAGTTCCTTTTTGGGGATACCTTACAAAATCCTTACTCTATGATTGGTTAAACCAAAAAAAGGAACTACAGTGGAGACTATAGGTAGACCCTCAACGGTAGCACCCTCATAAGGTTACTGTATATTACTGTCTGGTTCTATGATCCTAGCCGTGCTTCAATCCAAGGTGCCGCAAGTTGTGTTGCCAGTAGGATTGAGACTGTAGTCCAGGGCCCTAAACCCTGAAAACCCTAACAGCCCTAAAAAACCCTAAACAACACTAAAAAACCTGAAACCCTAAAAACCCTAAAAACCCTAAACCCTAAAATCTCTAAACCCTAAAATCCCTAAACCCTAAAAATCCCAAACACTAGAAACCCTAAACCCTAAAAGCCTTTAACCCCGAACAACACAAACCAAGGCCCCCCGGGGCCTCGCAATCCGCGGAGCTCCTGGGCAGACTTCCGTGGAAGGCATCCAGCGCTCCTTCGGCCGTCTGAGAACTCCGTTGGTTGAGGGGTTTAGGGTTTAGGGCTTAGGGTTTAGGGCTTATAGGGTTTAGGGGTTTAGGGTTTAGGGTTTAGGGTTTTAGGGCTTAGGGTTTAGGGTTTATAGGGTTTTAAGGCTTTAGGGATTTAGGGTTTAGGGCTTTAGGGTTTAGGGGTGTAGGGTTTCGGGGTTTCGGGGTTAGGGTTTACGGTTTAGGGCTTAGGGCTTAGGGTTTTAGGGTTTAGGGTTTGGGATAGGATCGGTTGAGGGGTTTAGGCGTGTTCAGGGTTTAGGGCTTTTGGGGTTGGTTATGGCTGTTACTGCTGGTTCATGGGAGGTGTTCAGCAATAAGGTTGATACTAGGCTATCTATATATTTTGTTGCGCTTTTTGCTTTGAGGCGCATGTTGGCATGGTTATAGTTTTGCTGACTGCTGACTGCTTTTTGGCTCCACGTTTCGGGTTCCGGAGTCTGGCATGAAGCTTCCGGGGGCTCAAACACCCAGGAATCGAAGCACAAATGCCAATAGAGGAGCCTCACTAGTACAGCAAAGCTAATGTAGGGGCCTATATCGTTAGAATGGGGTTTTGGGCTCCTTTTTTGTAGTTTATTACAAGAAGGGGCCCTGACAGGCCCTCTAACAGTAATATCGGCAACTATTTAGGCTTCTATATAAGGGGATACTATTACAAATTGGTCGACCGCCATGGCTGTAGCAGCCCGATAGCCGAAGCCCTATCCGAACCCTGAGGCGAAGTGGACAATTTCAGAAACTAGGGGACTCAACGATGGAACCACATAGAAGGGCACGACACTACGGCATCCGTAGCTCCCAGAAATGCCCAAGTTCCAGAATTTTTACGGTTTGGGGCGCTCCGCTTCGCCAAACTTGATCCCCCGGTATGCGGCGATGAGCATGCCCAGTGGATGCTCCCACTGGCCACTGATCTGGCCACCTGGGTTTTTGCTTTCAGGATTTAGTGTTTAGGGCGGTTTTTATGTTCTCAATGGTTTCGGTGTTTACCATGGGCTTTGCGGTTTTGGGCTTCGTTTTGCGGCTTAGCATTATAGATGGATGATGTATACTTTGGGGCGGCGGATCTTAACATGTAGGGTTTAGAGGTTTGAAAGAGTTAATCTTCAGTTGAGTTTTGCTAGGAATTCCCGGAGATGCACGGCGGAGAAGCAGTCGTATGAGCACTTCCAGTGGGCTGTCAGCATGCTCAACCACAAACTTGCCGACGGCTTTCTTGCGCAGATTGCTCGTCGAATTCTGAGGATGTTGGGGGGGTATGCGGCTGTGTTATCGCAGGCTCAGGATTAAGGGCCTCAGAGCTCAGCGCGGGGTTTACTTACTTGTAGGGTGGGTATGGGCACTACAAAGTTTCGACAGAGCTGAAGGGTTCTAGGGATAGTCAGTGGATGTACAGCTAAATTTCCCGGGCCTAAACCAGACCCTTCAGTGCACATTCATGAACCCTTCAACCCTAAGCCCGAAACCCTAATAGACCCTAAACCCTAAACCCTAGACCCTAAGCCCTAAACCCTAGAACCTAAACCCGAAACCCGAATTGTAAAGACCCTAAACCCTAAATCCGCTTGGGTATTCGTGGTCTGCTGCGGCCGGCTTTGGAGACCGACACGACCGACCGACCGACCGACCGACCGACCGACCGACCCACCGACCGACCGACCTACCTACCTACCTACCTACCTACCTACCTACCTACTTACCTACCTACCCACCTACCTACCTACCTACCTACCTACTTACCTACCCACCTACCTACTTACCTACCTACCTACCTACCTACCTGCCTACCTCCCTGCCTACCTACCTACCTACCTACCTACCTACCTACCTACCTACCTACCTACCTACCTACCTACCTAGTAGTCCTAGTAGTCCTAGTAG